CTAATACGATGAACACGATTCAGGCCGACATTCAAACATTCTTTTTGATAAAACCCCCCAGATATTTTAATAGAATAGAAAGCCCTAGAATTTTCATATGAAAATACTGTATTTTGGTCGAAATAAGAATGAAAGAACAAAATAAACTGTAGTAGCTTTTGGAATAGTTAGATATATATCACATTACTTGAGAAAAAACTCGTAAAAGACTGAAGGAATAAACAGGAAGAAACTAAAGACGAAAAGCGCGCGAAACTGCAGGCCTGCCCAATCTTGCCCGCTTGAATTGTAATTTGTAAATTGTATTAGTTGTAACAAATATTCATCCAAAACCTTCACACCAGTTAGTTCTTGCCGAAATAAAGTGCTAGAACGGGATCGGAAGCTGTAGGACGACGCAAAATGCAAAAAACATGGTTTTTCCCTATGTTGTTCTATGATTTTTGCCCTGTTGAGCCGCCATCTTGGATTTTCAAAATATGCCACGCCGGGTGAGCCGAGTCAGCAATCTAGGTCTCCTATATCTATGTGTTTACCTGAGTTATCGTTCCAGTCCACTGAGCTATACTTATATATCTGGAGATCGTGCTCTCGACGAAAGTGTGTGGCCAAAAACATGGCGGATTTGACGTCACAATCGACCTATTTTCATGGGGGTTTCCACTGACCCGTGGCTCGAATGTTCGTGGGCGACAAAGTTCAACCCCCCTGGATTTTACAGTGATTTTGTATGTTTATATTAGTTGATCGACAGAGAGTATATTTTTGATTTTCGTCCTTTTGAAAATACAGTATTATTCTAACTGCGCGTATAAATCAATAAAGACCGAAAGCCATTAATAAAAAAAGACATGAATGGAGCTTGACGGCCACAAGAACAAAGCTGTAAGTCATTGAAATGATTTATCAATTCTTGTATTGTGAATTTGTGTTGCAACTGACTATCAAGATTATTCTTTAAAACACGAGTATTATAACAATCCCCAGCAAGTAAAATTAAGCAAATATAGCTTGTTGAAAACCGTACTGCTATAAATTTCCCAATGTAAATTTCCCTGAGTGACAAAGGTTTTTTTCGAGACTTTAATACCAGTTTATTCTATTAGTAAATTGTGGGGAAAAGCAACTCTTTGGAATATAAAGCACTTATATCACCATTAAAGTTTTTTACACCTGTATGTATTCCGCTTTCAGGTATGAATTTATCAAGAAAATATGGGATATCTGTACTAAGTACCAGATGGCAATGAAGAAAGTCAAGTGTATTTCTTTATAATGGTCTTCCTTGTAAAAGGCAATGGCACTATTTCATTGAACATTCAAGGAACAATCGCCTTTTAAAACAAATATGCACATTTTTATGCTCAAGTTACAATGTTTGATTTTGATATCTGCATTTTATGTGATTCATACCTTATTTTTAAGTGTTCCTCAAATATTGATTCAATACTTTACCTCGGGCTGACCAATTCATTCCATCAAGATATTTGCTGTGTTGGTGTAATACATGTACTCAGGTGAATAAGATGCTTGTGTGATGTTACGTACTCTGAGTGGATATCCACACTGGGCAGGCTTGAAAAATATGCCTGGCCACAGTGGGATTTGAACCTACAACCTTTGGAATACTGGCCCAATGCTCTGCCAACTGAGCTATACAGTCGGGGCAGTTCGACTATGCGATATTTCGGAACTGAGTCTAGTTCCTTCGATATCAGTGTAATCTAATAACCATGATATTTGTGAATATGATGCTTGTGTGATGTTACTCTGAGTGCATATCCACACCGGGCAAGCTTGAAAAATATGCCAAGCCACATTGGGATTCAAACCGACCTGACTGCATAGCTCAGTTGACAGAGCATTGGCATTTGGGCTAGTATTCCAAAAGTTGTAGGTTCAAATCCCACTGTGGCCAGGCATATTTTTCAAGCCTGCCCGGTGTGGATATACACTCAGAGTAACATCACACAAGCATCTCATTTCATCAAGTTCCTCCAGATATTCATACACTTCCTGTGAAAGAGCCAATTCCAAGTATTTAATCATTTCTGGTCACTTCCTTTCTATTTATGATTGGTTAGTTGCACAAACAACAAAGGTGATTGGTGCATTCAAACCATTTAACAGGAAGTTTACAATTATACTAGGGAGTGTATGAATATCTTGAGGAACTTAATCAAATGAACTGGTTAGCCTGAGGTAATGTATTGAATCAATATTTGAGGAACACTTCAATTGGAACGACAGTGAAGAATTATTAAAAAAATATTTTATTCAAAAAAAGATTTTCCAAGATAATTGTATAATTACATTTAGTAATAAGAATAAATAATATATTCAATTTCAAATCACAACAAAATTTATTCTTTATTTTTAAACACATACAACACCAATTTAATTAAATAAACTGCTCAACCAATTCTATGCATGTCAATCCCTACTTGATGGTCAGCACCTACAGTAATTATGCTAGCCTAATTTGTACACTAACACAAATAGTCAATATAAATGTAAATGTAGCAATCTTGGCTTAGCTAAACAGACCAAAATGTGTACAAATAACTTAAAGTTGTTAGCAGAAAAATTAAGGAATAAATTTAACCCATTGAGTGGCGAAGCACCCTATTTTAGTATTTTACTCTGTCTAACGCCAGACAATTTTACTCGTCAAGGGGAGAGCACTGGCGCTTAATGGTAATTAACATTACCCCTCATGTACAGTATGACCATTAATTGTACTGATAATAAACTGTAAAGATCACAACCAAGCTGACCAAAGCAATCATTAAAGATTGTTGGTACAGCATATGGCTTTAACACTGGTCTCTGGCTGTAATCCTCCTCAAAGATATCAGCACTAAAATGCTTTGAACACAAACGACTATTTTTCATAGGAACAAACTTCACTGGCATAAGTTTGCTTATATTCTTCACCCATATGCTGTGCAATTCAGGGAATCTCTTCTCATCTGGAAAGCTTTGAAGTAAATGAACAATTGTTTTTAGTGTCTAGTATTGATACACTGTTCAATACGATACCTATAACTTACAATATAAACAATGCCACACTAGACAACAGTCACAACACATGGTTTAGTCCACAATAAAGACAATACAATGAGTGAAAGGCTTTGTGCATTTAAAGCTAGTCGTATCTTTATCACATTGTTAAAATTCTCATTTGAAATTTTTTAACATAGCATTATCTGTTAGGATATCGATAGGATTTCATCACTGCATCACATCCATCAACTTGCATGAAAATAAATACTTGCTCGACAACAGCTCCACAAGCTTGTCAATATTTTAAAATTTTGTTCTGCTTTTGCACTGTAGTACACTAACATAAATTGTATTGTATGTTGCTTGCCAATAAATTTCATGAATTCACAATTTTACGCATTCAATACAGCAAATACAGCATGCGTTAAATTATTACAAAAAAAGAGATTATACGAGCCTTAATACGCATGTGAGGACAGGTCCTTTCTTTCAGTAGATTTTTGGCAACCAGGAATTGAACAAAAAGTTGGCATGGTTGCAAATGTCTCGTTTCAATATAGAAATTTCCGACCGAAATTTTGAATTTACTATTTTACCCTTCAATTCTGTTTTAAGCAAATTGAAAGGGGGGTGTGAATAACTTTTTTCTTCACGTTAGTATTTTAGGTCAGTGGTGTTCACCATAAATTTAGGTCGATTGTGACGTCAAAATGACGTAAATTTGGCCAAAATCCGCCATGTTTTTGGCCACACATTTTTGACTGACGAGGTATTGGAGCACGATCTCCAGATATATTAAGTATAGCTCAGTGTTCCAGTCTCGATTAGAGTTCACTGGCAAGGAATGAGGTCATCCCGAAATGCAACGCGCGCCTTAATCACAGAATACTACACAGAAGTCCATCTCAACACAGGCGGCCCAGACGTGTATTAGTGTATAGTAAATATATCATTATAGAATATACTACACAGTAAAATTTGTAATGAATTTTATATTTTAAAATCATATTTACTTGCCTACTTTGATTGTATGTGATCGTCTTTTATTTCTGAGCGACTTTACATTCGATGCCTGCGACTGTCTTCATAGGTGATAGTATTGAAAGCAAAGGCTAACGATTTCAGTTCTCAAACAGCCGACACGAACAATTCAAATCGAAAAATATCCCCCTTCAAATTGCTTTCTTCGCTGTAAAACTTCGCCAGCGTATAGAATAAACACCCATCTTCGAACATACAAAGCAATATTAACACGTCCTATAATTTTTGCAATGGATTTTTAGCGAAATGTTTCGAGACTAAAATTCTATGGAACTTAGAAAGCCCGATAATTACTACGGCGCCTGCTTGGCCACCTAGCCTCCTTTACCGTTTGGATTGTCAGGGGGGGTCGAATAAAAAACACCTATTTCGGGCAACAGCTAGCCAATCTCGACGCCGCGATACCGACTGTTTACAATATTTGAAATCTGATATTGTAATTTATCAACAACAAAACTCTTTCGATCGATCGATCGTATAGTATAAGATAGAAAAGGGAGCTTTTGCAAATTACAATATCAGATTTCAAATATAGTAAACCGTCGCTATCGCGGCATTGATTTGCTGCCTGTTGTTGCTGTATACGATCGAAAGAGTTTTGTTGTTGATAAATTACAATATCAGATTTCAAATATTGTAAACAGTCGGTATCGCGGCGTTGAATTGGCTGGCTGTTGCCGGAAATAGGTGTTTTTTATTCGATCCCCCCCCCCTGACAATCCAAACGGTAAAGGAGGCTAGGTGGCCAAGCAGGCGCCGTAGTAATTATCGGGCTTTCTAAGTTCCATAGAATTTTAGTCTCGAAACATTTCGCTAAAAATCCATTGCAAAAATTATAGGACGTGTTAATATTGCTTTGTATGTTCGAAGATGGGTGTTTATTCTATACGCTGGCGAAGTTTTACAGCGAAGAAAGCAATTTGAAGGGGGATATTTTTCGATTTGAATTGTTCGTGTCGGCTGTTTGACAACTGAAATCGTTAGCCTTTGCTTTCAATACTATCACCTATGAAGACAGTCGCAGGCATCGAATGTAAAGTCGCTCAGAAATAAAAGACGATCACATACAATCAAAGTAGGCAAGTAAATATGATTTTAAAATATAAAATTCATTACAAATTTTACTGTGTAGTATATTCTATGATGATATATTTACTATACACTAATACACGTCTGGGCCGGGCTATCTTTAAAACCAGGAACGGGGAATCGAGGAACGGAACGGAA